GTAGCAGGGGGTGGGCGAGAGGGGCGGGGGGGGGGGGAGCTGGGAGGGCGTTACCACCAGTGAGAAGTTTGTAGACTTTGCCTCTATAGCCCCCCCCCCACACAAAAGGGTGTTGAATAGTTCTAGAAAGCCCCATATGGTTTTGGTGTGGAATGGTGACCCATTTGGCCTGGTTTCTAGGCTATATGGTGGTTGGATTGGAATATGGGAAGCCTGCTCACGGCAATGCTAGCCCAGCGCACTTGCGATTGCAAGGCAAGCTTTTTATCAGTTCAATTGAAGTTGGGGGAGGAGACCCACTAAATCTTACATTGATGTTGGCATAAGAAGTCTCATTCACGGAGTAGCTCCACCCTAATTAGGACCAAGCTGGGTGCTATTTAAATCCCATTGGGTTTCTGGCTTGATGGCCTTTGGGACCAGCCCTTGCAGTGCCGTAAATATTGGTCTGCTTTATGTATCCAAAGGGCTTTGGGCATCGATGTGTGTCTTGATGTGCTGTTACTGCTGCCGAATTTGATGTACTGTCAAAATAATTTCAAGACAGCCGAACCGAAGCAAGAAATAGCCCAAACGGATGTTGATGAAGGCCAGCCTTTCCCTCCCAGCCGCTGCCCTATGATGGCCTCTGCGTAGTTAATGCTGACTCTCTCTCTCCCTTCTTTTTTTGGGGCCAGTCTTCGGAATAACTCCATAGGACCCAAAGGAGCAAAAGCACTCGCCGACTCACTGAGAATCAATCAGTACTTGCTTTCTCTGAAGTAAGTAGACCTGCTTTCCCTTCCATTTGGCCTCTGACCAACACAAGAGGTTACACGTGCAGGAGCTGAATCCGATAGCGCCTCAATGGGGCACACGGAGCCCCTCAATACCTTTGTTGATTCTGACCTACCCTGACAATAGAGTTTCCCAACTATGTGAGAGAGTTAAGGAGTGTTTTTTTAACCAGTCCTGTCCCTGACTGAGATTCCATGGCTGAGGGTGGATTTGAACCCAGGTCTCCTGAGCGCCAGCCTGTCGCTCTTATCTGCAACTACACCACACTGGTTTTCATGAATTTCAAGGGGTATGAGATACTCAAAGGGCAGTTTTTATCACCCCCTGAGCACTCTTGGTGGAGTGTAGATTGGCACAGGACAGACCAGAGACAACGTCCCAACAAATTGTCTCCTTACGGCCCTTGATTACTGGCCAGTAAACTATTGCTTCCTTGCTTTAGTTGCCCCGTTTGTGTCCATCTTTTCCTGTAACGGGATCACAGCTGCCTTCCTCTCCATGTTATTGATCCTCCTCACAACCTGGCAAGGGAGGCCAGGCGGAGAGACAGCGGCCGGATTTCATCTCTCAGCGAGAGCTAGAATCTGGGCCCGCCCTATTCCCAGCCCAGCCCTCTGACCCATCCCAGCAGGCTTGTCTGTCTAACGGAAGGAATATTTTTCTCTGGATGTTCTCCTTTCAGTCTCCAGAACAACGTGATCAAGGAAGAAGGTACCAAATGCCTGGGCGAGGCTCTCATCCACAACCAGACTCTGAGGACTCTGCAGTAGGTATCCTCTGTCTCTCGGCCCGGTGGCTTCGTTTTTATTCCCCGATTCCTTCCTGGGCAACAACGGTCACTTTTTTGGGGTGTGTGTGGCTAACGTCTTGTATAAAGTGGGAAATGGCTTAAATCAGTGGTTCCTAATCTTGGGTCACCCGGATGTTCTTGGACTGCAAGAACACTTAGACCAGGGGTCCCCAACCTTATTTACCCCGCAGATCAGCTGGGGAAGGCTGGGCACTCCCCACACTCCCCACGCTTGGAAGCAATCCAAGCTGAATGCCCATAAAAAGTTAACTTTAAGGGCAATTTCTTATTATACTAATTAGTTAATTAATTTTGCTCCTATTCATTCTGTTAATTTTAAAATGTTAACTTCATTGTGACCTCATTAACAAAATAAAAAGGCAACTATATGCAACTACTTGACTTGGCAAAAATTATCTCTGGTGTTGGAGAGTGGTTTTGAGTTGTTGTTGTTTAGTCGTTCAGTCGTGTCCGACTCTTCATGACCCCATGGACCAGGGCCCGCCAGGCCCGCCTGTCTTCCACTGCCTCCTGGAGTTTGGTCAAATTCATGTTGGTCGCTTCTGTGCTACTGTCCATCCATCTCATCCTTTGTCATCCCCTTCTCTTCTTGCCTTCACACTTTCCCAACATCAGGGGCTTTTCCAGGGAGTCTTCTCTTCTCATGAGATGACCAAAGTATTGGAGCCTCAGCTTCAGGATCCAGTGAGCACTCAGGGTTGATTTCCTTCAAAATCGATAGGTTTGTTCTCCTTGCAGTCCAGGGGATTCTCAAGAGTCTCCTCCAGCAACACAATTCAAAAGCATCAATTCTTTGGTGGTCAGCCTTCTTTATGGTCCAGCTCTCACTTCCCTACATCGCTTCTGGAAGAACCATAGCTTTGACTATGCGGATCTTTGTCGGCAAGGTGATGTCTCTGCTTTTTAAGACGAGTACAGACAAAGAAATAAATATATCGTACTCTTGATTTACAAATGTAGGTTATCTTTGGGGCTGATCTCCTGTACTCTTGATTTACAGATGTAGGTTATCTTTGGGGCTGATCTCCTGCTTTTCTGTGTTCTTTTATAATCTCTTTTTCCTCAGACTCCAGAAGAACTCAGTAGGACCCCAAGGTTCAAAGAAAATAGCAGAAGCGCTGAAGAAGAATTCCGGACTCAGGGAGTTAGTGTAAGTACGGAAAGAACTGATGAAAAGACAAACTAGACATTAAGAGAATATTATATTTCCTGTTAGTGGCGCAATGCTCTACAAGGATGGACTTTCCTCTGAGGTCCATAATTGAGTCAACAGACGTTACCACTGCTGGTAAAGTTATCTTGGTGGCAGTGATTTTTTTAAAATAGTTAAAGACTTCCTCCTTCCATCCCGTCTGAGGTCCATAAATGAGTCAACAGACCTTTAACACTGCTGGTAAAGGTGGCAGTGATTTTTTTAAATAGTTAAAGACTTCCTCCTTCCATCCCATAGCATACATGGGTTCCCAGCAGTGAAAGGGATTCCACAGGATCTTGGGTGCCTTAGGACAAAAGGAGGAAGTGCTTAATTTCCAGAAAATTATCCCAGATGACATCATCTGACTTATGCAACATATGTGAGCAGAATTTCAGTGAATATATGGCAATATATGTGGATTACAGCAGAAAGGGTCTGCCAGAAATATTTTGCCTGCAGACAAGATGAACTAGCAGGTGATTCTTATTTCACCTGTGGAAGAAAAGACAGGATCTTGCATCTCTGCTACACGCAGGAGGAATCAAAGAATCATAGAATAATGGAGGTGGAAGGGGGCTATAAGGCCAATGATTCCAGCCCACTGTTTAATGCAGGAATCCTGATTAAAGTATATTTGACAGGGTGGTTGTCTAATTTTCTCTTGAATGCCTCCAGTGTTGTAGTAGGGCTCAGGAAGCCTGGGTTCAAATCCCTGCTTGTCCTAGTTGCCCTCCGTCCTAGTTGCCCTCCTTTATTGGCATCACTTTTTAAAGCACAGCGTCCAGAACTGGATGCAGGACTCCAGATGAGGCTTAACCAATGCAGACATTCAGAGAGACCATCAAGCAAAATCCCAGCTTTGCCGTCTCTTTGATGGGGAAAATCCACAAATGGCCAAACGGTGTTCCTCTCGTCACCCCCAGCCATCGAGCCCCCTTCACTCTGCCTACACTGAGAAAACAAACTCCCCTTTTTACCATTAAATCCATGCTCTGGGAGAAAGCTGGTCCGACGCTACTGAGAATTCATGAAATTAAAGCCAGGCAGGCGGGCGAGGCCCCTGGGTGCTGTCCTACCAACCCGTTACGGATTGCTTTATTTCAGCATTGTTTGTTGTGGCTTTATGGATCTCAGAGTTTGGAAAGTTTTCTTTCAAGACGACACTGTTGTTTTCTGGAAAATGACTTTTTAACTGTAGATTACTTATGCTGCTCTTTGACAAGATTTTTGCATCCTGAAAGACGAAATAGAAATAATGGTAACAATAAATGAAACGAAGGGAAAGTCTGGCTTGTGATATTTATAACTGTTGTGTGTTAAATTGTTCTCCGTTGCTTCTGCGCTAGATTATCGAGCAACTGTGTTGGAGATGCAGGTGCAGCCGCCCTGGCAGATGGCCTGAAAGTGAACCATAGTCTTTTAACCTTGGAGTAAGTCTCTTTGGCTTCCACTGCCTGTTTATTGTGTTCATTTGTTCGCTCTTTCCTGGAAAGCAGCTTCGGAGAAGGACATTCAAGGCGTCCTGGAAGAACATCGAGTGAATCAAGAGAGTAGCCTATTTGGTTTTAGCCAAACAGGGGAAATTGCTTGATGTCAATAGTCAGCCCATTTAGCTTAGCGCTGTGCTTCCCAAGCTGGAGTCCCCAAAAGTTGTTGGACTACAGCTCCCAGAAGCCTTGGCCACTAGCTGTGCTGGGCAGGATTTCTGGGAGTTGTAGTCCAAGAACATCTGGGGGCCCAAGGTTGAGAAGCACCAGCCTAGTGGGTATGTGAGGCAGGGCCATCTTAGGAGAGGTTTACTATGTGTTTTGCGATGTCTATGTGTTTTGCGATCTCACATTTGCCCCCCCCCCCAAAAAAAAAGACTAGGGGCTTGAGCCGGTTTGATAGAATTCAAGTTTGGAATATGTCGGGAAAGGAGATGAGGAGAAAAGCACGCCAGGACACCTGCTTTGCTGACTTGTTTTCACTGACCTTGTCTTGTTTCAGCCTCCAGAGCAATTCAATCAGTGACACAGGGGTGACTGCGCTCACAAAAGCCCTCTGCTCCAACCAAGGTCTCACTGGACTCAAGTAAGTTTTGATTTCAGTTTGCTACCTGCGTCTCCTGTTGCCTGTTTGGTCCCTGATCGATTATTGTTGTTACATGTCATCAGGTTGTCTCCAGCGTATGAGGACCCGATGAATCAGAGATCTCCAGAATGTCTTATCATTAACAGCCCTCCCCAGCTCTTGCACACTCAGGCCTGTGGTTTCTTTTAGGAATCAATCCATCTTACGTTCAGCCTTCCTCCTTTCCTGCTGCCTTCCATTTCCCCATGCATTATGGTCTTTGCCACCAAATCTTGTCTTTTCCTGATGTGCTCAAAGGTTTTGTCATTTTTGCTTCTAGAGCGGGTTTGGGCTTGAGTTGGTGCAGGACCTGCTTGTTGGCCATCCTGGCTGTCGAGGGTGTCCACACAGTAACATATTTTGAACAAATTAGTTTTCCCTCTTGCCAGCTTTCTTCACTATCCAGGCTTTGCGTCTATAATCAGGAAAAAAATAGGGTAGATCAGTGGTTCCCAACGTTGGGTAAACCAGGTGTTCTTGGACTGCAACTCCCAGAAACCCCTGCCACCACAGCTGGTGGTGAAGGCTTCTGGGAGCTGCAGTCTGAGAACATCTGGACGACTCAAGGTTGGGAACAGCTGAGGCCCTGGCCACCAATGACACATTCTTGCACCTGATGATCTTTTTCACGCCCTACTAATAGCTTCTTATCCACAATATAGATTATGCATCAAGAGAATCAAGTATTGAGGCAAACTCATTTCTTTTAAAAACAACCCATAGTTTCTCATGGATCCGTGTCTTTTGATTATAACTCACAAGTTTCTTTTAAAAACAGCCCATAGTTTCTCATGGATCGACACAGGATCCGTGTCTTTTGATTATAACTCACAAAAAGAGCTGGGCTGGGTTAACCATTTCTCGACCTTCCAAGCTGATTTAAAAAATGCACCAGCATTTCCTTGCCTTAGTGAGGGTGTTAAGGTCTGGTGGTAAGGAACTGGTAGATTCCAGACATGGTTTAAAACCTGGATGGTGTTAGGGGTTTGGGGAGTGGGGGGATACAGTTGGCTTCTGGACCATGGCCAAGTTGACTGGGGATTCTGGAAGTTGTAGTCAAATTTCCCCCCTTTTTTCAGACTTTGCAGTTAAGGGGGCGGGAAACTGCTATGCGTACAACCTGTACGTGGCAGGAAAATTACCACTGAGGATTGTGTAATACATTAAAAGTTATTTAAGTGGATCCCTTCCAGCTCTATAAGTCTATGGGTGCATAGGCCTTCCTTGTAACCACCAAATGACTGCTTGTCAAACAGCTACTGTTAAGATAAGAATAACATTGTACATGTTGGATTTCTGTCCTTTATCCATGCACCAAAGCACATGCATGCATATCTGTCTACCCAGGTAAGACTCCTTGCATTTGATGCTTGGGGCTCACTGCTGAAAGCTCTATCGTTTCTAGCTGTCAAAGCCTATCCACTTGGGACCGTGTGGCGCATGAAGCATGGTGGATGGGAGAATATAACGATAGCTTTCTGCTTTGTGTTTTTAGCCTGAGAGAGAACTCCATAAGCAAAGAGGGAGCCCGGGAGATCGCAAACGCCCTCCGAGTCAACAGCACCTTGAGGAATTTGGAGTGAGTCATTTGGCCTTTCGAAATATACATAGAGTCTCTTGGGTTATAACCTTTTGTCTCTCTTCAGTAGTCTTATGGCCTGGCAGCACAATAAGAACATGTGTACCTGAGCTGGTACTTTGGGACACAGATAGCAGTGCGGGATGCACGCCATGGGCTGGGTCGAAGTGCCCGAGGTGGGATGTTTGTGCTACTAGTGGTAGGACTCTGTGGCACTTTGCCCCAGAGCCACTGATCTTGGTTGGCCTCTTGGAGTCCTACGGTTTAAATTCCCGACCTTTGCAGTTCAGAGTAAGGACACTGAAAAAGCAAAGTTAGCTCTGTGATCTTCAAGCAGAAGCAAAATTCTGGCTTGCGTAAAGGTTTTATCGGATCACTGAGAAGTTACCAGCAAGACGAGCATTCATGAATTCCACAATTCTTCTTGGGACGGAAGGTGGGTTTTGAACCACGGTTTGGTGTGGTCTGGGGACAGGGTGGTTCACTCCTTTTCCTGGAGTGACAACACAACAGACAGGCCCTTGCAAATCAGCTGGTTCCTGTTCCCGGCTTAGTCCACACGTTTTTGGTTCCTAATGTGGAGTTTGGGGGGCAGTAGATAACCAAGGAGGAACTTCAGAAGCCAGTGTGTGTAGAACACTAAGGGCTGTAAGGAGAGCCTGCAAACGGGATGGTGTTGAGTTTTCAGAGAGAGACTTTTATCTGTTTCAGCAACAGCAGCAACAACCAAAAAAGTACAGTGACATTTTAAAGATGAACACGTTTATTTCCCATGTCAGTGACTGCAGTATTTTTTTTAACATCTTGTTTGAACTCAGCTGCCAAGTCAACTCTGCCCCAAGTCAACTTTTCTTTCCCCCTGGATTTTGTTTCTAGTGCCTTGCAAATCAGCTGGTTCCTGATCCTGGCTTAGTCCACACGTTTTCTTTCCCCCTGGATTTTGTTTCTAGTTTGGCTGCCAACCTGCTGCAGGATGAAGGGGTCCAGGTCATCGCGTTGGCACTGAAGGAGAACCGGGCACTCACGTCTCTGCAGTGAGTTTCAGCGGGAATAACCTGTGCTAGGACAGGAGGCCTTCTTTCGTGGCCCACTGAAAATCTAGAGCTGGGAAATTTTGCTTTGTTGTTGTTGTTGTTGTTGTTGTTGTTGTTGTTGTTGTTGTTAGCATAACTGGCTGAGAGATTCTGGGAGTTGTAGTCCAAAATAGTAACATTCCTCATCTCTGGCCACAGCATATGCCAGGCAAACATTGTTGTTGTTATGTGCCGTCAAGATGCCCCTGACTTAGGGTGACCCTATGAAGGAGCGATCTCCAAAATGCCCTGTCCTCAACAGCCCTCCTCAGCTCTTGCAAACTCAAGCCTGTGCCTTCCTTTAGGCAGTCAGTCCATCTCATATTGGGTCCTCCTCTTTTCCTGCTGCTTTCAACCTTTCCCAACGTTAATGTCTTTTCCAGAGAATCCTGCCTTCTCAGGATGTGCCCAAAGTAGGGCAGCCTCAGTTTCAACATCTTTGCCTCCAGAGAGAGTTGAAGTTTCATTTGATCCAAGAGTGCAACTCACTGGCCATGTAAGGGAAGGGCCGAGGGCTAGAGAAATCTCCTGTTTTAACTGCCTGCTTAGGGCAGCAGAAATGGTGATCAAGTCCTTGATTGCCACAGTGGATGAGCTCAGTTACCACTTGTTGCCGATCAGGTTGTACTGAGACACAGAGATGTATCCCATTTACTCGGAGCAGGTGAATTCTAGAGTGTGCCCCATGGCTCTCTGCCAGGGGAAATGGCTGTCAATTTTAAGTGGACCCCAGTGAAGCGTTGATCACCCTTCCCCTGCCTCTTTTGCAGAATTTCACAGGAGCTCCAGAGATGGTCCTACATGACAGCTTCAGATATCATTTGCTTGTGCTTCCACACTTCCTTTCATCTTTTGTCCCTGTGGAAAATACATTTGGGGGAAAAGCACCCAGGCCTTATAACTGCTAGTGCAGGAGCCCTGAATTAAAAAATGCCTGCATTCATGTTGTTTCTCATTTGAATTCAGTGGCCAGCCCCTAATAGGCACATCAGGATGGCATTACTATGGCACTTGTGGATTTGAAACGGGGAGCTTTCAGCCTGTGGCAAGTCTGCCTCCAAAGATTTGAAGCTCTCTGTTGTTGTTGTTGTTGTTGTTGTTGGATGCTGCCTCTGAGGGTTTTGCAAAAACCTTGCAGGGTTTTTAAATAAGATCAAGGGCTCTGGGTTGCCCACTCCAGCTGTAGGCGGATTTGAAACGGGGAGCAAGTCTGCCTCCAAAGATTTGAAACTCTCTGTTGTTGTTGTTGTTGTTGTTGTTGGATGCTGCCTCTGAGGGTTTTGCAATAGGGAGAAGAAAGTGTGCGATGTGTTCAAAATATGTTTCCATTCCTCCCAAGTAGAATGGCCTAAAGACAGCCACAGTAATGGAAACGCTCCCAGGGTTAAACAGCCTGGAAATTCTGAGCCTCAGCACTGCCCTTAGACATCCTAACTAGAGCCAAAAGTAGACAAAAAAAGTTGAAAAAGGACACTCTTTTTTTGATTTCTCCTCCTCCTCCTCAGTCATGCCTTACTCTCTCCTCATTCTCCCCCTTCACCCATAGGAGGTCACAGAGGAATGAGCTGATGGCTCTTGCAGTGACCTTGCAGAGACCAGTTGCAAAGGGTTTTAAAATAAGATCAAGGGCTCTGGGTTGCCCACTCCAGCTGTAGGTGGAGCAACTGGTCATGTGACTTTTGTGAATGGAATCCCAGACTCTTATGTTGTCACTATAAAGCCTTCCCTATCAGGAGAGGAGCTTTTCTGATTGTAGCCATTGAGAAGGCAGGTTGGAGGGAAGGGATGTGGCAGATTTGACCTGTCTCCTCGTATTAAGAGCTGGCTTCCTGCTCACAGAAAGCTAGTGTGTCTGGGAAAAGGGATGCTGGTCTAAATTTGGATCCGTTGACAGATTCACTCAAGTATCATTCTTTAGAATTTCGTTTTAGTTGCAAAGTTCTGAATTTCTGTTAAAATTCCTTTTACTGCACAGTAGCCGTGTAGAGACTAGCTTCAAATTTTCCTGACAGTCCACCTCCTTCTCATTAACTGGCACTTAAGGTCTCAATAACTCACTCTCTGAGAAATTTGTAGGAGAAAGAATAAAAGGTTTTCAGTACTTACAGCTGAGAATGTACCAACAACAAATGAACAAATACTGCTCCCAAGAAACTAAAGAGAGGGAAAGGAAGCCCTCAGTAAAGAGGCGGGGCTGTCTGTGAATCCAGAGGGAATGACTGGTTAGTGCTGGATAGATTGACAGTCACCTCAGAAAAGTCCCTCCCAGTTTCTCAAACCTTAGGCGGCATGCAAGGTTGCAAAGAAAACTCCAACAATATTTTCCCTGAGAAAGAAAGGGAGGCCTGGACACTGCAATATGGCCATATTCTCACTCGTGTCTCCCCCACGTACCTCCAATGTCCCAAGCTTACATTATATTCAAAACATGGGTGGGTGCCAGTGCTTCTAGCCCATGCTCCATGGAGGGAAATGTTTACCTGAAATTGATCTTGTGTTTAGAAACGGTCCAGTCCAGGAGCAACGTGTCCCATGTGATAGTTCCGCAAAGGTGGGTTCGCTTCTCACCGGATCATCTCTGTCTTCTTCCCTCCAGCTTGCAGTGGAACTTCGTTCAGTCGAAAGCAGCCAAGGCCCTCAGCCAAGCACTACAGATCAACAAAAGTCTTGCCGTCCTGGAGTAAGTGCCTCTCTCTGTCCAGCGGGCCCTCAGTTAAAAGGTCGAGGCACCCAAGTGGAATGAGGTGCAAGGAATCCTGAAGCCATCGTGTATATAGACTGTATAGCTTTGGAGAACAGGTCGGGTGGGTCCCTTCCATTGAATGCCCACCCATGCGTATAAACTTGTGGTTGGCCTTTACTGAAGAGTCGCGCCCACCCACCCCCTGAGTGCCACAAAAAGGGCTTTCATGGCTAGAGAATCCACTTCAGAGTGGAATACCGCTGCGGCTCCTTCCAGCCAATCGCTTCCTTGAATTACAAATGTCTGTTGACGCCGTCATCCATTTTGGCTTTGTTAAGCCGTTGCTTCTCTTGCGGAGTTCCCTTCTGAAATGCTTTATCCTGTGGCCAGAGGGTGGGAGTGGAGAAATCACTTCTTCCCTGCCCGTTTTCTGCCTGAAGCGAAGGATGCAAAGAGGCCTCTCCTCCCAATCCAGTTCCATACACAGAAGCCAAAATGCACAGTCTGTTGAGTCGTTCAGCACTGAAAGCAGGACGACGTAAACCCTAGTTCAGTGGGGCTTCTGTGCGACTACCTCTTAAGTATTTGAAAAGTGCTATTTGGATCTGTCTTCTTTTCTCAAGGCTAAACATGCCCAGTTCTTTCAGCCTTTCCCGATAAGGCTTGGTTTCCAATCCCCTGATCATCCTTGTCACCCTCCTCTGAACTTGCTCCTTCTTAAAGTGCAGTGTCCAGAACTGCCTTGGATAATTTTGGGTATGCAGTGTGGTGTAGTGGGTAGAGTGACAGAGTAGCGCTCGGGAAGCCTGGGTACCGATCCCTAGTTAGCCATAGAAACTCACTGGGATAAGTTGTGGAACGTGTAAAACCACTCCCTAAATGCCCCACTAACCCTTGAAAGCTCTTTTAGGGTCACTGTATGTCAGGACTGACGTAATGGCACATAACAACAAATGGTAACCTTTTACAGAAAATGTGTATTATCATAATAGTTTGGGATTGGGTTTCTTTTAGGTATTTTATGGTCCCACATAGTCTGATACCCTTGCGCATGAACTCAGTGATAGCCACTAATTATGACGACTGTACATAAAATATTGCACAGCATCAGACGTTAAGTAGTTCTCAATTAAAGTTGCTGGGGAAAGGAGTTGTGGGATATTGGTGTGCCTTTTTGACATGGCCTCCCTCCATCACATAATGTTTGGCCAAAGGTCAGCCAGCCGGCCTCCTGCCTCTTGTTCAAGGCACACCTTGCTGGTCTGTGGCTTGCCAGGCCTAGTCTTGGGGCCCCTGGGCTTTGCAGGGAGGTTGACCCCTCGGCCTTGCTTGGTTTCAGCTTACAGGAAAACGCCATCGGGGATGAAGGCGCCGGGGCCCTTGCTTCTGCCTTGAGGGTGAACTCAACCCTTACAGCTCTCTCGTAAGTCTCCACACTTACACACAAGGGGAGGGTGAGCGTCAGTGGGAAATGCAAGCATACAGGATGGGGTAGAGGTGGGGGTGGTCCGTACCTGTGAGCTAAAAGTGGCCCAAGGGAGCCGGGACTATGCTTAAGTCTGGGGAAGAAGCAGCTCATCCGTCAACAGTTTGTACGTTTGTATATAGCTGGGATTGTGTTGGGAATCAAGAGTTTAATATTCATTTGGAAGGAGGATGTAATTTGGGTGGTATACAAAGGCGTGTGAGAAATAAAATCAGTCTGCTGTCCCTCGCCCATTATCTAGAGCTGATGGCAGTTGTCAGTGAACAGTTTCGCCTAACGGGAGGGCTGGACCGGCGGCACTCCTTGAAGTCTCCACACTTACACACAAGGGGAGGGTGAGCGTCAGTGGGAAATGCAAGCATACAGGATGGGGTAGGGGTGAGCTAAAAGTGGCTCAAGGGAGCCGGGTCTATGCTTAAGTCTGGGGAAGAAGCAGCCACTTTCTCCAAACCTTTCCTGTTTGGGAAAGAAGAAAAGGGACAGCAATTTTCTAAAGATGTCCAGAGCTTCAAATCTGCTTTTAGCTCACATGCATGGCATTGAGGAGACTGGAGGGGAAAGACCAGAAGTCAGAAGGGTTAGAGGGGAACTTGAGACCTTTTAGAGGGGGAGGCAAGGCACGTCTCATGGAGGAGACCTGTAGAAGCGATTCTCCCCCCTGCATTGATTTGGAGCTCGACTCATTTGTCAACACTCTGTACGTTTGTGTATATAGTAGCTGGGATTGTTTGGGGAATCAAGAGTTTAATATTCATTTGGAAGGAGGATGTAGTTTGGGTGGTATACAAAGGCCTGTGAGAAATAAAATCCATCCATCGTCCCTCGCCTGTTATCTAGAGCTGATGGCAGTTGTCAGTGAACAGTTTCGCCTAACGGGAGGGCTGGACCGGCGGCACTCCTTGCCTGTTGTTCTTCAGGCAACATTGGTTGACCTAAACGTCTACACTGGTTGACCTAAACAACGACGTTCTATCCTGTTGCAGCCTTCAGGTGGCGCAGATTGGCGAGAGCGGGGCCAAAGCTTTGGCGGATGCATTGGTGATCAACAAAAGCCTTGTGGTGCTAGAGTAAGTATCGTCCTGTCTGCCCGACAAGTGTCTGTCTGAAGAGCAACGTTGTCATGAGTGCAGTGGTGCCAACTTGAAACTTAATAGGATCCCAGCCTGATTTCTTTATTTCTCTCTTTTTTTGCCTCTGGGGTCGGATGGCCAATTTGTGTTGCTTTGGGCATCAAACCAAACGAATAGTCCGAATCTTTTATGTTTTTCCTTCCAGCTTGAGGGGAAACGCCATCGGTCTAGCAGGAGCAAAGGCAATGGCCAGTGCCTTGAAAGTGAATCGCACCCTCCGCAGTCTGAAGTAAGTGGGGCACAAGAGCAACGATACAGCGATGGGGCTCGACTCTCCTTGCCTTTGATGTAGAGAGAGGGTTTTTCCCATTTGAGCCCATTTTCCAGTTTGAGAAGGCTTGCTTATTGGCCTGTGATAGTTGGCTGCTGTTCTGAAACACTAAACCACGTTCCCAAAACAAATGAGGCCATGCTGATCCACAAGAAAGAAAGAACATCCAAAATTCACAAATGTTCATAGCTGTAATGAGAGGGAATGGTGCACCGCTGTGTGCTGTCAAACCAGTTCTGACTTATGGTGACTCTTTTCAGGGTTTTCCAGGGAGGGAACACTCAGAGGTGGTGCACCATTTCCTTTTGGGGGCGGCAGCTCTGGGACTGTGCAGTTTGCCCAAGGTCACACAGGCTGGCTCTTCTCCTAGGAGCCCCTTCTTCTTGAGCTAGCTCTGGGACTGTACAGTTTGCCCAAGGTCACACAGGCTGGCTCTTCTCCTAGGAGGCACAGTGGGGAATCGAACTCCCAACCTCTGGCTATGCAGCCAGAGACCTAAACCACTGAGCTATCCAGCCAGCTTTATTTATAGCTATTAAGAAAATGGCTCTTGTCTCCTCTCCCCCTACTCTCCAAGGAAATAGTGCATCAGTGTGATTACCGTCTTTTGAAAGTGATAATAGAACACACAAAAGTGTTTTTCTTGAGTGGGCCAAAGTGATGGCTATGTAATACAATTTTGGGGAAACCAAATGAATAAATGGAGCTGCTTTTAGATGTGAGTTGGATTAGACGTACTTACTGTCTCCTCTTGACAGCCTGCAGGAGAATTCCCTGGGCATGGATGGAGCCATCTGCATTGCCACAGCTTTGACCGGAAGCCACAGCCTCACTTACATTAAGTAAGTAACTTTCCATCAGTCAGTTTTAGTGTAGAAAGTAATGTCCCCGATACATTTTACATTTGACCAAGATACTATGGACATATTATTGTGCCTTCCATGATATTCACAGGTATAATTTAAAAAAATTCATTTCCTTGCATGTAAGAGCAGGCAATGCCTTTGTTAGAACACTTAAAAAAATCAAACAAACAGCAAGCTTTTGTGTGTCAAGTCCACTTCTTCAGGCTATGCATCAGTATTGGTGTGTAGCCTGAAGAAGTGGACTTAAGTCACGAAAAGCTTGCTGTTTGTTCAATTTTTTTCAGTGATCTAATAAAAATATCAGCTGCTTTTGCATTTGTGTAACTTTAAGGACCATACTGGCCTTTCCGTTACAATTTCCTTGAAATTCTGAGCCTTTTGCATTTGAAGAAGTAAGCTTCTGGCACGACAGCTACGGAGGAAAAGCTTGAAACACCAGGATTGGTGTCTGGCAAAATATTCAGAAGCCACAGTTAGGAATGTAAAAGTACCTCTCTCATGTAAGTTGTTTTTCCCTGAATCACACCTGCATATTGTTCCTAGCCTTGTTTTATATACACAGTTTCTGCCGTAGGGTGCTATATTCTTTAAAATCCCATCAGCAGTTCCTTCCTGCCCTTATTTCATATCAGGTCGTGATATGAATTTCTTCCCTTGTCTTCCAGTTTGCAGGGAAATCAAATTGGTGATTCAGGAGCCAAAGTGATTGCTGATGCGATTCGCACAAATGTCCCCAGTTGTGTGGTGAAGATGTAACGAGGACCCTTGCTGCTCCACACCCAAGGGGGTTTAGACCCCCCCCCATACTAGATGCTCCATTGATGGAGCCACGTGCCAAAAGAAGAGGCCACCAAGCAGTGACGGGAAGCGGCAGCAGACAGAAGTCGCCAAGAGGCTCAAGCTGAAGACGTGGTGAGAGGAAGCCTTGGCACCCCATCAAGGCTTGCTTGGGTGACTCAAGGATCTTGACAAGTGGCCAAAGTGTGGACGGTGTCCCTATTCCTGGCTGAAGGCATCTGTTAAAACTGTGGACAGTGGAGACAAGTATGAAGTGGACCCACAAAAAACGTTGCCAAGAAAGAAGATGGAAAAGGTATTTATTTGTGAAACACAGGAATGCATCCAGGATGAGTCTGAATAAAACTGTACCGTATGCTAGGCAGACTGAGGCCCGCTTAAGACAGAACTAATTCAGCAGCGGACTCTTGCTGGAGTTACAGGCTGGGATCCGCGGAATATTTCCATGTATCCTCTGGCTGCAGAGTGCATCCCGTTGGACAAACAAGCAGGCATGTGTTAAACAGCTCCTTAGCTTCTCTCTGCTTCCCAAGACTGGCGTCAGGAGAGTCTGTGGCTCCTCAGAAGTCGTTGTCACTCTCTTCCAGGGGTTCAGGTTTCCTGACTCTTCGGCTGGCCTTGTTGGGAGAGAGATCCAAGCTGTCATCTTCCAAGTCATCCTCATCATCTTCGTCATCATCATCCAGGTCTATTTCACTGTCCTCTGAGTCTTCCTGCAGGAACAGAACAACGTAGCTGGGTTTAAATTTAAAAACCAAACAAACCTACTCTGTCACTGAGGGCTAAGTGTAGGTAATGATCAGCCACATATAATTAAAACACTGAACTAAGGTAACAACACGGAGGGAAACTCAGCGAACCACATCGGTTTTAACTATGTAACCTCTTGTAGGGCTCTACTGAGTAAGGTTATCTGCAGTGGCCAAGTGTTGTTAATTAAAAGGCTCCTTTTTTGACTGTGGGCATACATGACTTTGTGTCATTGTGTGTGAGTCATACACACCCCAAAGCTGAACAAGGAACTCTTTAATTAGCAGCAATCTGCTAGCAAATAGTGACATCATTTCCAGCACACCAGTGGAGCTTCACAGGACAATTAGAGGACATGATGTCTGCATTTGAGTTTCTGAAAAGTGCAAAGAACAGACAGCACCAACTCGGATTCAAAGTACAAGGGAACTTTCTCACAAAGCATCTTGAGGACATGAAGTGTTCCACAGGGAGACACAATGGGAAAGAGGAGATCTGAGAAAATAAGGCGGGCCCTTCGTGCTGTCTCATCAATCTCTGGCACTTTTTACTTCTTTCTCTGCTCCCACAAGTGGCTTCACAGCTGCTGATCCTTAGAACCATGGATTTTCCACGGCCATTTGGATTCCTTGAATGACTATTCTGAAGATACTGCAAGCATTTTATACACTGCTAGAGAATAAGAAATGAGGGGTGTTATGAATCTCACGAAGGTCACTGGGCTCAGATAAAGCACAAGTTTGTAAATAGCAGAATATGAAATAGGATCAGCTTGACTGATTTGATTTGCAACTCAGAAATGGGAGAATAAAAAGATAAAATATCTGAAGAGAGAATTAGTTTACCAGGAGTGACATATAACTTATTCTTCTCCCCCCTCCCCCAGTAGAAGTCTATATACGAGGACACTCAAATGACTTTGAAGTGTTAGGACATCTGCAGAAAACAAAAACTCTCATATGTCAGGGAAGGTTTCAGTGGAGCAAAATCTATGTATGGGCTTTTCGTCTTGATCCCCCGGTGTCTCATCTGTCAGCAGGACCACATGCTGGTGCTGAGGAACAGGTAAAGGGTCGCACCTTGACTTCACACTACAAGGAATTGGCTTGCTTTTTAAACTACAGCACATACACAGAGAGAAACAATAAATTTATCTCTAAGCACGCACAGCAATTGTACTCCTCCCTTGCTCATAAAGTAGGAAGCCCTTATTTCCGGCATGGATTCTGTCCCAGCCTCAATCCTCTCTCTTGTTATTAGATGATAAACGCAGTCCCCATTTCCCTTGCCTGCTACCGAAGAATCCAGTCATCACAATTATTAAAGCTTCTGCTGGCTTGCTAAGCGGGTGTTCGTCCCGTACACCTTACCCTTTGCGGCCGCAGCAAAACGAGACCACAGCAGAAGGCATGGAACATCACGGCCACGAGGGGATGAAATGGGGAGGAAAAGCAACGTGGCCCGGAGGAGCACCCACCTTAGCCTTGGCTCTGGAGGCTCGGGGTTTACCGGCTCGGGCCTGGGGCGCCCCGACCTTTGGAGAAGGAGCCACAAGAGCGGGCAGAGGCAACGCGAGATGAGATGGCAGCAGGAAGAAATTAGAGAGAGAAATGAAACCAGCAAATCCAGCAGAAAGGAAGCAGCACTGCAGAAAGTAGGCCAGGCTCTCCCCCGCCCCCGCAACGAGGTAGGGAAAGGGGGCAGCTGAGCAGCCCACTGGGGCGTTCTAAAGGAAGCAGCTCCTGGCTGGGGTGTAACTGAAGCAGACGGCTTGGAACGCGTTACCTTTCTTGACGACACTTCCCGGAATCCTTTGGACGGGGCGGCTCCAGCGGTGCTCCCCGGCATTGCGGGAGCATCCAAAAGGCTGCCGGGCTGGGCCTTTCCATTTGCCACAGAGGCCACTTCCAGGCGGGAGTAGCATCGCTAGACCAGGCAGAGAAATGCCTTCTCGTGGACTACGGGAATAATGCTAGCTTTCTATAAAGCTGCTCTGCATGGTCCGTACCTGTCTTTTGCAACACAGGGACGGATGCACTTCACGTTGCTACACCTTCTTTCGTGATGTAATGTCACAAAATACCAACACAAAGCTGTCTCACAAGAAAAAGAAACCTCAGGGTTTAGGGGGCCACATGTACTGTTGGAAAGGGACCAGAGGGAGTATCTGTGTCATGGTTGCAAACAGGCAGCTGCCATGGGGGAGCAAGGTACAGCAGGCCTTCCTGGGAGAGCTGCCGGAAAACTGGCTCAAATTGTTTATTTTCATGCAAGGATGGCCTTTATGCATACTGTATGCCTTTAAAACGTAAATGCCAAAATCCAATGGTAGAACAATTTTGGCTGAAGTATAACTTTGGAAATTACTTTTCATGCAAGGATGGCCTTTATGCACATGCCTTTAAAACGTAATGGCCAAAATCCAATGGTAGAACGATTTTGGCTGAAGTATAACTTTGGAAATTATAGTGCTCAGGCAACCACTTTGTAAACATTCAGCCCAGGATCTTTTTTCAGTGTTTACACCTGCAGAAATCTTCTGATGGCAGAAGCTGCTGCAGCCGCCCTCTGGTGAGACGCTGGTCTCATGCCTAGTCATGTTCAGCTGTATCCTTGTCAGGAGAGGTGCAGCAGCTTCTGCAGCTGGAGTTTTTGGACGTATAAATACTAGGTAGGGTACTAGTCTCAACAGGATGCTTTGATCCTGAATTGTACAGTGTACAATTCAGTAGAACTCTGGGTTACTAAAACTTCACTGAAAGCAATGAGACTTAAGATAACTGAAAGAATACAGAAGTGTATTCAGGCCCCAAATTACAATAGGACACCCCCACCCCACCAGTAAGAATAAATAGCATTGTCTCTGGCTCCCTCGAGTGGCTAGTTCTGGCAAATTTTAAAAAAAGTTTTTCCTTTTAATATTTTGAAATCGTGGATACCGATCCTGTGGATACAGAGGTCCTACTGTATAAGGGTTGTATGGCTGCAGGAAGTTGAGATTTATCAAATAATATTTAGATTATGCAAACCATGTGATCTGTCCTTGAGGGGGGCTCAGGGGTTCCTTGTCCCCTGCCAGTGGCTGCTGTGAGATAAGAGCAGGAACAGGGAAATATGATCAATGTCATGGTTTAGCTAACAGTTAGTAGGAAGGCCCGGGGAAGAGACAGGTTACCAGCAGCTACCTTTCGCTCAGAACCTGGAATACTTTTAACTCCAAAACTAAAGGAACTGGCACAACCACAGAAGTCCAGATGATAAATGTGAGAGGAAGTCTCAGGATGTAGAGAATAAAAACAAGGTCTTTATTCTTTAAACGGGCCATTAAAAAGCTCTGGCTCAATACTTTTGGCAAAGCCGCCTTCAGGAGCAAGCTCCTTTATATTCTCTGCACCTTTCTTTGAATAGTAGCAGCTCCAAAACTAATTGGAAGTGTTGGTTTTGGAGCTATTATAGACCAAAGAAAGGTGCAGAGAATATAAAGGAGCTTGCTCCTGAAGGCGGCTTACCGAAATGTGTTCAGCCAGAGCTTTTTAACGACCCATTTAAAGAATAAAGATCTTGTTTCTATTCTCTACATCCTGAGACTTCCTCTCACATTTATCATCTATACTTTAACTCCAAACAGCCTAATTTCCTGGGGTCTCAGGCACAGAGTTTCAGCTAAGACTGATGAACATCCCCCAGGTACAGACGCCAGTCTTCCAAAATCTGTCAAAATGTGTCTAGTAAAACCAGTTGGAACAAAAATGGGACACAGGCATGGACAGAGGAAGGAGACGAAAAGGAGGACAGATGGGGGGGGAGAGGAAACTCAGAGAAAAAGAAGAAAGCCAGACCCCCCCCCCCCCAAAAAAAGAGAGAAAGAAGTAAAGCAAGCATGACGGAGAGAACAGACCATCTACTGTGGAATGGAAAGTGTTTACCTGTTGTTGGTAGTGTCCTCTACTACTTACATCATCCTCCGTGTCTCCTCCTTGCATTGTTCCTACGATCCGCTTGCTCGGCCTCCCTGTCATAGAGAAAGAAAGAGAACCTGTAAGAATGTGGCTGCCCAGGCAGCAACGTGGGAAACAAGACAAGATTATTTTTTTTCCAGCGAGGTGAAAGATAGTCTAAGACAGGTGCTTGATATTCACATTTGTTCTCTGGCCTCCCTGCTCGTATGGTCTGTGCATTTTTTAAAATTTGTTTGTTTTGGGTAGTAACTCAAAAAACATTTTAGCTAGAGTTGGAGTAAAGCAGGAGGGGTGTGGGCACCACATGCGGCGACCCCACTCCACCCTCCTTCAATGCTGTGGCTTCCCAGTCCCATAACAATCTCTTTAAAATATGACATTAGACTTATAGAAAGATTAGACGGGCTGGAAGACATCCCACCCACACCCGCTTGTGGGCTTTAAGAGGTTGCCTGAGGAGGTATTTGTGGAGCAACACTAACGCCGCCTGAGCTTTACTCTCAAGGCCTTGTTGAATAAAAGGAACAATCCGTAGGTATTTTCTCCAATGAGCCAAAGGAAGGAAAGAGAGCTCCCGTTCTGAGTTCCTGAGCAGTTTCCATCGATGAGGATGATGACAGTTTCCTAGGAGAATGTATCTGTGAAGGCTCTCAGTCGTCCAGGTGAGATTCTCTGGAAGTTGAGTCATGGCAACTGGACTTCTTTCTTATTAGGTTGAAATGTTTTGCTACTCCTCCAAGTGGCTTCTTCAGTCTGAGTAAGAAAGAAGTCCAGTTGCCTTGACTCAAATTCTAGATTTCTTAGAACTGACAGTGGGTGTTGCCTCAAAAAAGTACCATAGCTCCTAAAGTCTTTCTCTCTCACACACACACACACAATGTATGGGAATGCATCTAGGCATCCCATGTCTCAGAGTCCTGTTGAGATTTATGTTGTTCCAAAAGCACATAGCTGTAGGGATGGGGATGCATCTAGGCATCCCATGTCTCAGACTCCTGTTGAGATCATGTTGTTCCAAAAGCACATAGCTGTAGGGCTCCATCAAAGGGACCCTCTCCTCGTCCACCCCCTCTCCTTTCAGCTGAAACACATGGACTGAAATCAAAGTACAGGAAGTGGAGACTCTTTTTGCCCAAGGGCTGAGTATATTTTCTAAGAAGTTCTGAAGGGGTGCGTGTGTAGGGGTGTATGTGCATTCAAGTGGCAGATAAGGCCAAAAATATCACTGTGTATTTTAGCTTAAAGCTCTTCATCTCAGTAACTAAGTCTAAGAAGATGCATCTCAACCTATTAGAATGTGTGGAAAACCCCACGAAAACTGGGGAACCATTAGGTCGTGGGGACAGCAGGACTGGGTTTCTGTGTAGTCCAGAAAATGCAAAAAAAAAAAAAA